CGCACCCAGGGGAGAAGCCCTGCAGGCGTGGAATCGTGGAGAGCGTCAGCCTCGCACCCAGCTCAGTCGCCCCGGGCAGCACCTCCGGGCTCCGGCCTTGTGGGAGCCCCGGGTCCTTCCTTCAACATCTGCCCCCATCCACACTCCTGCCTCGACTTCCCTTCCTTTATCCTGTCCCCCCCACTCAGTCTCCAGCCTCTGGTTCCACCCAGCCTTCCCCAGATTCCTCCTCGCGCCCCATCTCGTCTCCTTCACTCATCGCCCATGTTCCCCAGCATGGAGCAGCCCGCCCTCAGCCCTCCTCCACTCACCCCTTCCAGATCCCCTGCAAAGCCCAGATGCGAATCCGCCCTCCGTGGGGAACTGGGGGCAGCCGTGTCCGCCAGATTTTCCTGCTCCGGGTGCGGGAAGCTTCTCCCGCACCGGCACACCCACGCCGGGGAGCAGCCTTGCCTCTGTTGCACCCAGAGTTCCTCCTTGGTCGAGCGCAGGGAGACCCACTCCGCCGAAAAGCCACACCTGTGTGCGGAGGGCGGCCGCGGCTGCGCAGCACGTGCACCTGGCCAAGCCCCAGCGCCTGCACCCCGGGAGCTGCCGTTCCCTGCCCGCAGTGCCTGCAGTGCCTCCGGGAGGCCTGGAAGTTGCCCAGGTTCCGCCAACCACCCAGCTGGCAGCTCAGCAGGAGGGGGCGAAGGGGCACAGAAGCTGTGCGAGTGCGGGACGGGACTCGCGGGAGACGGTTCAGGCCCCAGGCTACCCTGAGCCAGCCCGGGAGGCCTCGCAGCACAGAGCGGCCTGACCGCTCTGCCAGGCCGGAGCCAGGCTTCGGCGACAGTGCCAAGCTCCTCCGCCGCCCTCAAACCCACACTGGAGAGGAGCCCTACCAGTGTTTCCGGTGTGGAAGGCCTCCAGCTGGAGGTCCAACCTGGCCCAATACTGTAGAACCAGCGTGCTGCAGCCCCGGGTGGACTGTGGATCTGAGATGCAGTCCCCTCCCTCCACACAGATCCGCTCAGGACGGCTTTTCTGTACCGCAGATCTTTCTCAGAAGTGCTGGGGGCTATTTTGTGTGTTTGGTTTTTTGTTTTCCCCTGAATTCTCGCTCCTTTCCCTTGTGCATTAAGGGATTTAGGCAGGTGAGGCTGCGGGCGGTGACTCATGCCTGTAATCCCAGCACTTTAGCAGACCCAGGTGGGAGGATCACGTGAGCCCAAATAATTTGAGACCAACCTGGGCAGCATAGCCAGACCGTGTCTCTATGAAATAAAAATAAAACGAGCTGGTGTGGTGGCGCTGGCCTGTAGCCCCAGCTACTCAGGAGGGTGAGGCTGAAGGATCGCTTGGGTCAGAGAGTTCAAGGCTGCAGTGAGTTATGATCAGGCCACTGCACCCCAGCATGGACGACAGAGTGAGACCCTGTCTCTCTAAAATAACTAGAGGATTTAGGTAGGTAGTAGGCAAAGGTATACTAGCGAAGTAATAATAATATACAAGGTATATTCTTGGTGTGGACAAGAATAATATTGTGTTATCTTAATATTAGTGATTAATATATTATTTATTTATTTTTTTATTATACTTTTAAGTTCTAGGGTACATGTGCACAACGTGCAGGTTTGTTACATATGTATACATGTGCCATGTTGGTGTGCTGCACCTATTAACTTGTCATTTACATTAGGTATATCTCCTAATGCTATCCTTCCCCCATCCCCCACCCCACAACAGGCCCCGGTGTGTGATGTTCTCCTTCCTGTGTCCAAGTGTTCTCATTGTTCAATTCCCACCTATGAGTGAGAACATGCAGTGTTTGGTTTTCTGTTCTTGTGATAGTTTGCTGAGAATGACGGTTTCCAGCTTCATCCATGTCCCCACAAAGGACATGAAGTCATCTTTTTTTATGGCTGCATAGTATTCCATGGTGTGTATGTGCCACATTTTCTTAATCCAGTCTGTCACTGATGGACATTTGGGTTGGTTCCAAGTCTTTGCTATTGTGAATAGCACTGCAATAAACATACGTGTGCATGTGTCTTTATAGCAGCATGATTTATAATCCTTTGGGTATATACCCAGTAATGGGATGGCTGGGTGAAATGGTAATTCTAGTTCTAGATCCTTGAGGAATCGCCACACTGTCTTCCACAATGGTTGAACTAGTTCATGGTCCCACCAACAGTGTAAAAGTGTTCCTATTTCTCCACATCCTCTCCAGCACCTGTTGTTTCCTGACTTTTTAATGATTGCCATTCTAACTGGTGTGAGATGGTATCTCATTATGGTTTTGATTTGCATTTCTCTGATGGCGAGTAGTGATGAGCTTTTTTTCATGTGTCTGTTGGCTGCATAAATGTCTTCTTTTGAGAAGTGTCTGTTCATATCCTTCACCCACTTTTTGATGGGGTTGTTTTTTTTCTTGTAAATTTGTTTGAGTTCTTTGTAGGTTCTGGATATTAGCCCTTTGTCAGATGAGTAGATTGCAAAAATTTTCTCCCATTCTGTAGGTTGCCTGTTCACTCTGATTGTAGTTTCTTTTGCTGTGCAGAAACTCTTTAATTAGATCCCATTTGTCAATTTTGGCTTTTGTTGCCATTTCTTTTGGTGTTTTAGACATGAAGTCCTTGCCCATGCCTATGTCCTGAATGGTATTGTCTAGGTTTTCTTCTAGGGTTTTTATGGTTTTAGGTCTAATATTTAAGTCTCTAATCCATCTTGAATTAATTTTTATATAAGGTGTAAGGAAGGGATCCAGTTTCAGCTTTCTACATATGGCTAGCCAGTTTTCCCAGCACCATTTATTAAATAGGGAATCCTTTCCCCATTTCTTGTTTTTGTCAGGTTTGTCAAAGATCAGATGGTTGTAGATACGTGGTATTATTTCTGAAGGCTCTGTTCTATTCCCTTGGTCTATATCTCTGTTTTGGTACCAGTACCATGCTGTTTTGGTTACTGTTGCCTTGTAGTATAGTTTGAAGTCAGGTAGCATGATGCCTTCAGTTTTGTTCTTTTGGCTTAGAATTGTCTTGGCAATGTGGGCTCTTTTTTTGGGTGGCTCATGCCTGTAGTCCTAGCACTTTGGGAGGCCGAGGCAGGCAGATCACTTGAGGTCAGAAGTTCAAGACCAGCCTGGCCAACATGGTGAAACCCCATCTCTACTAAAAATACAAAAAAAGTAGCCAAGCGTGGTGGTGTGCACCTGTAATCCCAGCAACTCAGGAGGCTGGCTGAGGCAGAATAATCACTTAAACATGGGCAACAGGGGTTGCAGTGAGCCGAGACTGCACCACTGCACTCCAGCTTGGCGGACAGAGTGAGAGTCTGTCTCAAAAAAACAAAAATCACTGTGGCCTGGAGAATAGAATGCTCTGATTGGGTAGGCCTGGATCATGTGGCCCTTCTTGGAGCTAGAGGAGGGAGTCCATTCCACTTGAACTGTGAACTGAGAATAAGGTGGGCAGGAGGGTGTGTGTCAGTGTCAGAAACAAAGGCATAGATATATTGGTCATATGACACAAAACAGTAGATATCCACTATTACATAGCTGCTGGCCCCTCCCAAGTGCAGAGGGAGCTCAGAGCCCTGTTTATTTAGCGTCTATGCCCCTGTTGCCACTGGACCCCACCCCAATGCTGTCTGAGCTCCAACTCTCTCTACCTGTTCATTCTAGCTAACCCATGTCCTGTATCACCATACAGTTGTTTTTCCAGGACAATTCCAATTTCAAATACGTTGTCCCTAGGGCCCCCATAAACATTTATACTTAGTAGATCACATGTTGTAATCAATCTTTGCTTTAGAAAATGTGGTCACATTATGCAGCATTCCAGGAAGAGGGCACAAGAGAAACTGACCCTGAGTCATGCCTTCACCTCCTTCACCACCAACAGCTGAGATACGTCTGAAAAGAGGCTGAGATGCTGCCCTCCGGGGTTGATTTAGCACCTGGTGAGTTTGTTCTTCCCTCTGCCTAAAGTGGAGGAAAAATTAAACCTCTAGAAACTGAAAGTGTTGGCAGCAGCCAGGTTAATGAACTGTGTGAGTGAGAACTTACAAAAACAATGGTGAGGACATAGCCTGGAAGAGACAGCTCTGCACACCTTCTAGAGAGGCAGGTAAGATGGTGACAGGCCCAGAAAAGCACAGACTACCTGAGCAGCCCAGGACAGCAGTGGCCCTCCTCAGGGCATTCTCAATGTCTCAGCAAGAAAACCTCTCCATAGGAGCTCCCAAGTTGAGAACAAAGGGATGGGAATTCCCAGGGAATTGTTTGGCAACAACCACCAAAACTGAGGGACCAGAACCTTTTCTTCCTTCCTTCCTTCCTTTTTTTTTTTTTTGAGACAGTCTTACTCTGTCACCCAGGTTGAAGTGCAGTGGCACAATCTTGGCTCACTGCAACCTCCACCTCCTGGGATCATGCAATTCTCCTGCTCAGCCTCCCAAGTAGCTGGGACTACAGGCACACATCACCACACCCAACTAATTTTTGTATTTTTAGTAGAGACAGGGTTTCACCATGTTGGCCAGGCAGGCCTTGAAGTCTTGACCTCAAGTGATCCGCCCTCCTCGGCTTCCCAAAGTGCTGGGATTACAAGCGTGGGCCATCATGCCCGGCCTCTAGAACTTTTTCAAGTAAAAATACCTGTCTTCATATCTGTTTTCTCCAGGAGCCATTATCTTACATATGTAGGGAGGGCGCTATGTGTAGAGGGAGATGCCAGGTATCTTTAACTGGAATAGGGCCCCATCTTCTCTGCAACAATGCCAAAGTCCAGTTGGGAAAACAACTGTAGGAAGAATTCTGTTATAGCTCAGTGAGAGCTCAGGAATAATTTTTGTAACATTGTATAACATTTGACTGCTCAAGGAGGTTATTTTTCAAAAAAGTAGCAGCAGCAGCTAAAGTTGGGTGGAACCTACTCTTCAGTTTATTACCAACAAGAAACTGGTATAGAGCCCCTTCTTGAAAGTGTACCTTCCTCGTTTTTCTTTTATATATTAAATTCAGATTATATGTCTATATAATTCATTTTTCTTTTATATATTAAGTTCATATTAGTACATCAGCCCTTGATGAAAGCTGGAAGCTTCCTATTGGATTGTAATTCTGAAAAGGCATTGCTGTAGGGTTAACCAAAGTAACAAGGTTCAAGCATTCATTACATACATATTTTTAGAACACCTACTTCATGCCAAGGCCCATGCCGGGTGCTGAGGACAGAACAGGCAGATGTCATCCCTGCCTGGTCTTGTGGCTTTCTTGTGACCTGCTTTGATAAAGGTTCACACCAGCCCTGTGTAGGCTTTCTTTCTCCAAGCAGTTGTATTTTTCAGATTGAAATAATGCACTTTGCAGTAGACACCTGTCAGGCTTGTGGCTGCCTGGAACCTTTTGAATACTCATCCTAGACCTGGAGATTTTCCCTACAATTCCTGCCTCCCTAAGGCAGAATCCAGAGCTCAGTTTCCCAACCCCTCCTGCAGCTGGGGCACCTAGGGGTTGCCAGTTGGTGCAATCACATAATTCTTTTTCGGAAAAGAGCGACCCAGGATACAGGTTACATGAATCATCCGTTTTCAAGAGGGGATGAGACTGGAAGATTCTGGCTTTCCAGGGCAGCCTTAATGAAGCTTTTGGCATCCAGGCTCCAGCAGTGTGAGCTGTGGGGGTGTCACTGCAGCTGGCCAATGGAATGACTTGTTTCTGACTGTGGAGACTGTAGGCCTCTCTGGCTATACCAGACATAGTGAGCTACCTAAGATTCTCAATTACCTATCTTTTAAAACTAGTGAGAGTGAGTTCTGTTCTTTGCAAAGAACTGTGACTAATACATATACTGAACTACTGTTACCTGACAAAATCCAGGTTGACACATTCCTACCTTACATAAACTTCATAAAAATCATGTAAGGGCCGGGTGCGGTGGCTCATGCCTGTAATCCCAGCACTGCGGGAGGATCACCTGAGCTCAAGAGTTCCACACCAGGACAATTTTTCCAGGACAATTCCAAATACACTGTCCCTAGGCCCCCCATAAACATTTATACTTAGTAGATCACATGTTGTAATCAATCTTTGCTTTAGAAAATGTGGTCACAGTATGCAGCATTCCAGGAAGAGGTCACAAGAGAAACTGACCCTGAGTCATGCCTTCACCTCCTTCACCACCAACAGCTGAGATACGTCTGGACACAACAGCTAAGATACCAGCTTGGACAATATAGTGAGATCCCCCCGCCTCCATTATTTAAAAAATCTTTTCAGGTACGAATTATACATTTTACAGCTGAAAAAACTGAGACTCAAAAAGACACTTAATTCATTCTACAAATATTTATTAAAGCCCAACCGTGTGCCAGCCACCAGGCATAGAATAGGGAACAAAATAGTTTCCCTGCAACTATATAAAAAGAATGGCATATTGTACTTTAAATGCCCCTTTGCCAAAATAAGAGGCACAGGACAACAGCTGTCTGGAGACGATCTCAAGCTAGTCAGGACCCATTTTAAATATAGAAACCCCTAAAAATAGCCGCTCATGCTCCAGACTCAACAGGTGATTGGCCCACAGAGGGGAGGAGACCCCAGGCCACGGTAAAGGGAGTGAGGACAGCGCTGGTTCCCAGCTCCCCGCACCGCCATGGCTCTGCCTCTGAGGCCCCTGACCCGGGGCTTGGCCAGCGCTGCCAAAGGAGGCGACGAAGGGGCAGCAGGTGAATGGGGAGCGGGCGGATCCCGGGGCTCCCCTACCCCGCCCACTTGTTCCCGGGCCCGCCGCCCCAGGCCCTCCGCGCTCACCCCTCTCCGTCCGCAGCTCGCACCTGGCGCCTGCTCTCCTTCGTGCTGGCGCTGCCCAGCGTGGCCCTCTGCACCCTCAACGCCTATCTCCACTCAGGCCACCGCCCGCGCCCCGAGTTCCGTCCCTACCAGCACCTCCGCATCCGCACCAAGGTACGCGGGACGGGCGCGCGGGCGGCCCGGGGGTGCTGCGGGGTGCATGGGGAGCGTGGGGCGCGTGGCGGGGGAGGCGCGGACTCCGGACTCACGGCGCTCACGTGCGCTCCCTCCTCCGCTCTCTCCACAGCCCTTCCCCTGGGGGGACGGTAACCACACTCTGTTCCACAACAGCCACGTCAACCCTCTGCCCACTGGCTACGAACACCCCTGAGGCCCCGGACGCTCCCAGGCGCAATAAAGGTGTGAAGCTTCGTGTCTGAGGCTCTATGGGGAGGGCAGGGCCACTGGGAGTGCACCCGGAGGCGCCCGCTTCGTGCATGCGCCCAGCTTGGTAAGCGCCTGTTCCGCGCATGCGCCGTGTGCGGTGGGAGCTCCACGTGCTTTTCCCACGTCGCTGATACTGGGGTGCTTGAGGGAGCCTCCTCCATGCACAGGTAGGCGATCCCAGCTCCCTCTCTCTCACCTAGTAATAATGAGGCCTCTGTCTCACGCACACCTATTAAAAATTAGAGCTGTAGGCTGTAATGGGCTTCCCCATACACTGAATCCTCACAGTAACGCTGGGAGTAGGGTATAATTTTAGTTCCCCTTCTCCAGAGGAGGACCTGAGATTCTCGGGAATTAAATGACTTGTCCAAGTTCAGGCAGCTCGCAGAGCCCCCCTGGGAGCCCAGGGCTGCAGATCCTGAAGTCCCACTTCTTGCCTGACACCTGAGCCGCTGGTGTCTGTGAACCCCAGCTATCTGGATTTCAGACGGAGGCTCCACAGTCCTGTGTGTGAGCCCTCGGGACCTAATGCTGGATTTGGAATCTTTTGGTCATTCTCTATAATCTTCCTTAATGGGTCTTCTATTTGGGAAATCACGTGCTCCAAGCCTGGCTTTCCTGGCTTCTGAATACCCCATTCAAGGGGGACAGGAGTTCAGATGAGCTCTGGACATTTCTTCACCTCCTAGGACAACCTGCCCACTTACCATTACGGAGGAACCTGAAGTGTGTGCAGAAACCCATGACCAATGCATCCTGCGTGCACGTGCATGAGCACGCACACACACACACACACTCTTTGACTCTCTCCCCTGAGACGCCTCTCAGCCCCATCAAGAAAAGATGACCTCAGGCTCCCATCACCATAGAAAGTGAGAAAACTTTTTCAATGCCCACAAACAGGTTCCCCCAACTATTGCCAGAGAGGCACTCAGGTCCCTGGGTTATAGCTCTTCCATGCAAGGAAAGTGTGCTATAAACATCCTCGTTTCGTGTGACAGTTCTTACGCACATGAAAATTTATGTTGGCACCATGCCTGTTTCTGTAAAAAGTGGGTCATCACTAAAAAAGGTGGACAGATATGCAAAAATATTACAATCTCTACCTCTCTCAGAAGGTACTTAGCATCTGGTAGGTTGCTCAGGCCAGTGCAGATCTATGCAGAAGTTGTTTCCATGTAAGTTGATTTATGGTTGCAAGCAAGACCAGCCCACAGGGGTAGAGATAAACAGGAAAGTGAGTTATTAGGACAAAGGCACATTTGGCGCCCCACAGCTGAAACCTTCCCCGCTGAATGTGGCAGTTTCTTCAAGCTTGTCCTCCAGCATTTCCTTGTAGTGGCGTTTGAAGAAGCCAAGCTATCAGGGGAAATAAATGAGAAAAGCTGGGTAAGGCCGGGTGCAGTGGCTCACCCCTCTAATCCCAGCACTTTGGGAAGCTGAGGAAGGTGGATCACTTGAGGTCAGGAGCTGGAGACCAGCCTAGCCAACCTGGTGAAACCCTGTCTCTACTAAAAATACAAAAATTAGCTGGGCATGGTGGTGCACCTGTAATCCCAGGTACTCAGGAGGCTGAGGCAAGAGAATCGCTTGAACCCGGGAAACGGAGGTTGCAGTGAGCCGAGATCATGCCACTGCACTCCAGCCTGGGCGACAGAGCAAGGCTCCATATAAAAGAAGAAGAAAGGAGAAGAGAAAAAAAGAAAAGAAAAAGAAAAAAAAGAAAGAAAAGCTGGGTAAGAGGGCAGGGAAGAAAATTGGGAATAAGAAGAAGCTGAGAGAGGAGAGGAGGCAACAACTAAGCTAACTTACATTTGTGTGCGAGAACCTTTATGTGAACAACAGCTATCATATATTGAGCATCTGCTGGCCCCAAGCACAGTAGGTACACACACGACCCGTGGCAGGACAGCATAGATCCAGGCAGATCTGTGCACATGCCCTGGCCTCATTTCTCTCTCACTTCAGCCACTCTGTGATATAAGCATTATTATCATTTCAAAAATGAGAAATGGTGGGGCACAGTGGCTCACGCCTGTAAACCCGGCACTTGGGGAGGCCGAGGTGGGCAGATCACATGAGGTCAGGAGTTCAAGACCAATCTGGCCAACATGGTGAAACCCTGCCTCTACTAAAAATACAAAAATTAGCCAGGTGTGGTGGCGTGTGCCTATAGTCCTAGCTACTTGGGAAGCTGAGGCATGAGAATCTTTTGAACCTGGGAGGTGGAGGTTGCAGTGAGCTGAGACTGTGTCACTGCACTCCAGTCTGGGCAACTGAGTGAGACTCCACCTCAAAAGAAAAAAGAAAAAAAAAAAAAAAGAGAGAGAGAGAGAAACACGCTCAGAGAGGTGGAGCAACTTGCCTAACATTAAACAGTGAGTACATGATAGAACCAAAATGTGTGTCCAGGCCTGCCTGCCTCCACAGTCTGAGTTCTCACTATACCACCCAGTCTGTAGAAGGGCTTGGGTTGGATGCTGGTGGTGTCAAGAGTGGGATAAGGCCGAATGTGGTGACTCACGCCTGTAATCCCAGAACTTTGGGAGGCTGAGGCAGGCGGATCACCTGAGATCAGGAGTTTGAGACCAGCCTGGCCAACATGGTGAAACTGTGTCTCTACTAAAAATACAAAAAACTAGCCAGGCATGGTGCAGGCCACCTGTAATCCCAGCTACTTGGGAGGCTGAGGCAGGAGAATCACTTGAACCCGGGAGGTGGAGATTGCAGTGAGCCAAGATCACACCATTGCACTCCAGCCTGGGCAACAAGAGTGAAAACTCTGTCTCAAAAAAAAAAAAAAAAAAAAAAAAAAAGAGTGGAATAAAACACTTGCCTTGTACAGTGTGGCTGTGATGAGCGCCAGCAGTAGCAGAGCCCCTACAGAGCTGCCCATGATGATGGGAATGGCGTTGTAGACCTCGTATTCTTCTAGCACCATCTCCATCTGATTCAGAGATCAGAGAGCGTCCGGCCTCCTGCCATCCCGGATGCCTCCCAGGTTCCCCAACCTTTAACTCCCTCCCCTCCTCCCTGAGGCTCTGCTCTAAGGGTTGAGACACAGCAGCACCCGTGCCCTGAGGGACAGCTGTCCTGCCCAGAGACCTTCACCCTCCTCCCCCAAGGCTTGCAAACCCCCACCCCTCCTCCCCCAAGGCTTGCAAACCCCCACCCAGCACTGCGGATGTAGCCCTAGGGGCCCTCTTTCCAGCCTGGTTGCTGCCCCCAACATGGTCTCTACCTGAGCTCTCATAAATGCCTCCTGTCCTGGAAGCTGGGAGTACACGGATGTGTCGAACGTAATTTCAGCCACACTCACGACCGACACCTTCTTCTGCGATGTCTGCAAAGGGGTTGGGGGAAGCTTGTGGAACTGGCTCTGGGGGAGGCTCAGAGCTCCAGGGATGCCCTGGCTTGTACGTGGGCACAGACATGCCAGGTCCTGCCTGAGTCCAGGGCAGGTGCTCTGCCACTGCCCTCACACACCTGGCGGACCCAGCCGAAACTGAGGTTGCCCTTCAGGGTGAAATCCAGCTCCTCCTGGACGCTGAAGGAGGGGATGTCACAGCGGAACCACAGGCAGCCAGCAATGGAGCAGTCCTGGGGGCAGAAGAGGGGTGAAGCTGAGGGGTTCTTCACTGAGGAGGGAACCATAGGTAAAAATATGGTCAGGTTTGGGGTGGGGAACAGATGAACAGTTATAGGACATGCACAGAACTCTGCGGCCTAGCGGTACATTTCTCGATATCCCTGGTGGGGGCTGATCTTGCGGTGGGGGTTCAGGGACTTTCTTACCAGCACGGGACTTCTTGAAATCTGGGTCAGGAAGTCAGAATGCTGGGGAGGTTTTCTCTCTGATACACAGGGGAGACTCTGGGGAGAGAGAGAAGCAGTTAGCCACAGAATGAGCAACATGTCCCTGGTAAGAGGCAGTGCCGTGCTGTGGGTTGCCAGTCTGAAGAGAGAGGAGAGGCAGGCAGGTACCTGGGATGGGGCCTCCACGACCACATCCCACACGGCCACCCCGTTCAGCAGGACAGGAACCCAGAAGTTAATGCTGATGGACAGATCTCGCTGGCTGAGGTTATTCACCTGCAGGAAATCAAGGCAGAGTGTTATTGTGGTCTCTGGAGCCTCCCAAATGCCACTTCCCTCCTGGCCCTACCCCAAGCTCCTCTCCGTCTTCTCCACCGACTTCCAACTTTATCCACACTGTGGAAGGCGGACAAGGATACTCCCTGGACTCTCACGCGGTATCGATGCTCAGCCTCTTCCATTTTCTTCTCATCAGAGGTTGTAAAGTTGAAGTACTTGGTGGATTCTTCCTGTCTGGAGAGAGAGCCTGTGGGTGAAAAACAGCCCTGAAACTGTCCCCAGTTGTGCCCTGTCCTACTGCAGAGAGCTCAGTTTGGCCAGGCACATTTCTCAGGGAAATAATAATGGACATTATTTGGCTGGGTGCAGTGGCTCATGCCTGTTATCCCAGAACTTTGGGAGTCTGGGGCAGGAGGATCGCTTGAGCCCAGGAGTTCCAGACCACCTAGGGCAACATAGTGAGACCCCGTCCCTATTCAAAATAAACAAATAAAAGATGGTCCCACATAAACTTTGCTGCCTCGGCTTCAGCTCCTCTCCCTCCGATGTCCCTTGCCCCCATCACCCAGATCCACTAGCTCTGCCCTGCACACCTCTGGCTCTTTCATAGTCTCATGAGTTTGCTGAAGCTCTTCTCCTTGGAATGTTCTTACTATCTCCCGTTTTGGAAATTTACACTTAAAAACCCAACTTAAACCTCACCTCTCCTACATGGGGCAAAGGCATTTGCATTGCTTTCTCTAATCGTTAGAGGTTGGCCTCTGGTAATGCTTACAGAGATTGCAGCAGAACAAGTTAGCCTAAGGGGACTCTAGGAATGAGAGGTGGATCACTCAGGAAGACATGGAGTGAGGGCCCCTTCATGGTGGGAATGAAGAAAATAGATTCGGC